GTGTTAGCATACGTTTTACAGACTGTAATAATTTTGTCTCTGGTGGCTACAAACACCTTAACCTCCACGGAACGAAAAATAAAAACAGCAAATTCTTTCCAATTAGCATCTTGTTCGCCAGCGCAGCTTCTGTTCATTTACTTCTAATCAGGTCTGAATAAAATATTCTCTGAGAGATTATTTGTAAGGAAAAAAAGCACATTAATTACTTTGCAGGGATCTGGTTCGTGCCACTGGTTTGCATTTCTGCTCATTTATTTATTCATTAACTTCTCTCTTCTAGTTCTGCCTCCTCTGGCCTCTAACTCGTCAAATCAAACAGTTTGACAACTTTTGAGGGAAACACTGCTCACATTGCAAAGCCACAGATGCACATTTTGTCATTACAAGTGGGCTGCATGCCAAAAAAGGCGATGCAGGGACAAACTCTGAATAGACTTTAACATCAAGCATCTGCAGCAAATCATCAGCTCCAGAGCCAGACAGGGCAGCTCCTGAGCGAAGGCCTCACACATCTCATCTGCCGCCTATAAAGGGAGGAGAATACACCTACTGCTGCACCTGCTCTCTGGGCGAGGAAATCAATGCGCTAATCTGACTGCTTTTCCTCAAGACCTGGCAACTCTGTCCCCTTTATCTATCGACTCAAATCTGGCAACCCTGTCCCTTGGTATTGATCGCGGCGAGCGGCTGCGTTCGCGTGGGCACTTATCCCACCTGAGACACAACTTCTGATGTTGGCTTCTTTCTCCTTTGGTTTGTTTGTCTGCTTTAATTGTGCCGTGGCAGAGCGCACACACAGTTAGACGGTAGACTGAGGCGTAAACAAGGAAGAGATACGCATATGCTCGCACACTCCCACACACACACATACGCGACGTCGTCCAAACACATGTACGAACACGCAACATGACGTTACAGAAGATATAGCCTTACACTAGGGCACAAACACACACACACACAGAGCCCTTGCTTGACAGATGGCACCTGCCAGGATGCCAAAACACAGCCCTGGGGCCTGGCTTCCCTTAAGTGGCTATCAGCACGCCGGGGATCGGGTGAGCGAGCGAGTGGATGACTGAGTGATTTTTCTTTCATGTTGCTTTCAGGGGGCATTTGTACCAGCAATGAATTGAAAACACAACGCAGGCTACAGCTCTGTCTTGAGAAGAAAAAAAAGAAACACACAGCAGCATCACTTTAACACGACGCCAGGAGAAAGCAGTTTGAACAGACAAATGGTTTGACTATGCAGCTCCCTGTTCTTTCACATTATCTGGACAGAACCGGAGACGTCGGCAAATGTTTGTTTTTTTAGGGCCATTGGTCTTGCTTGTCGAGCCTTCTTTCTATGCGGTTACTTTGTGCATAGCGCAGAAGAAAGACGGTTGGTTGTGAGAGCAAAGTACTCCAAGTAGCGCA